AGACCCCAGCTGTGCATAAATTTGTGCACTGGGCCTCTAGTTTCTAATAAAATACCACCTATAATTTTTCACTGTTGATTGCCTCCCTAACCCCCTTTTGAAGATTCTTGCAATGCATTATTCACACAGTATTAGCCATCTTTTTAAACTGCCACTGACATAATTTCACTTCATTACCCAAAGGCTTCTTTTTGCATTAGAGTAAAGGTCAACTGCTTAGTGAAATGCACAAAGATCTCTAGGTGTGGGCCTACTTGCCACTAGAGTGTCATCTTATATCATGATCATCAGCAACACCAGGCTCTGGACATATTAACCTTTGTTTTATTGTTTTGTTTAGAGCGAGAGGAAGGGAGAAGGGGACGGGGAGAGAGAAACATGGAGAAAAATGTCAACCAGTTGCCTCCCCCATACACCTAGTTTGGGGATCAAACCTGCAACCTGGGTATGTGCCCTGACCTGGAATCAAACCAGAATCCCTTAGCTGCATGGAACTCTGCTCAACCCACTGCATACACCAGTGAGGGCAAACTTTCTGTTTCCTAAACATAACACACTTACTTCGAATCTTGTTCTTTCCTCTCCTTGAAACGTCCTTCCCTGGATCTGCCTCTCCCTGACGTTTTCTCATCTTTTAAGTAGTTTACAGTCATCTCTTCAAAAGACATTCTTTCAGAGAATTCCCAGTAATCTGAAATTTATTAGGATAACTTGTATATTTGTGCGTGTGTGTGTGTGTGTGTGTGTGTGTGTGTGTGTGTATAAAATACCTATTTATCTAATCTGTTTCTAATCTATCTAAAACATATTTTCTTAAAGACTCTGAGATATGCTACATAAGAACAAGAACATTTGCACTTTTGCTCACCAACATGTTACTGTTACCTGCCTAACACAGAAAATGCTACACACACATTTGCTGACAAATTTAATATACCCAACAAATTCATCTCAAAGTGTTTTTGGCATCACAATCTTATTTAATCCTCATACCAATGAAATGCAGTCAGCTGTGCAGGTATTTCTTGAGATGAGAATTTCATTATTAATAGTCACGGATGATCAGAGGGATTAAAGGATAGTACCTAAAATCATGCAGCTTGTTCTCCAGGAAAATCATAGTTAAAATCTGAATCTTTTTTTTTTTTAATATATTTTATTGATTTTGTACAGAGAGGAAAGGAAAGAGATAGAGAGTTAGAAACATCGATGAGAGAGAGTCATCGATCAGCTGCCTCTTGCACACCCCCTACTGGGGATTTGCCCGCAACCAAGGTACATGCCCTTGACTGGAATCGAACCTGGGACCCTTCAGTCCCCAAGCCGACGCTCTATCCTAAAATCTGAATCTTTTGACTCAGAATCTCCACTGTGCTTACTGCTTACTATAGTCCACTGCTTTTCTCATTTTTGCCTCAAGCACTAATCATCTTTTTGAAGTATCACTGCAAAACATCTGTTATTTCAATACTCATCAGCGGGTTATCAACATTGTAAGACATCCCAAGTAAGAACAGAACTACCGTGGTCTAGCAGTTAGAGTATATAATATAGTGTGTATATATGTATATATATATATGTGTGCATTTGTATGTAGGTATATATGTTTTATACATAAATGTATCTTTGTAGTTTGACTTGTTAAAAGACTTATTTGAATTGATTTATTTATCAACAAAATCTTCATTTACATTGATGAACTACTTGAAGATATTCCCCAATCATTGTAAGAAGAGCAATCATCATCATCAACATAATTCTGTTTTATATAACTCTATTCCATGCTACTCCCTTGAAAACTGGAACATGTCTATGCATTTAAATAATTTTGTTATTTTTTACATTGGACAGTGAAAGATTATGAAGAAAATATATGATTGAAAAAAATATGCTGATTAATCTGTTCTTTCAACATGTCTTCCAAACAAGTTATTTCAAATGATCTTCATTTTCAGACTATTTTCTAGTTACATAAAGGGATTCATTTATGTTTAACTTTGGCTAGGTGTATAAACATTCTAGACGACCTTCATAAGAAGCTCCTGACTCATGTTGCATGCTCTTAACTAGAGTAGTTAGAAGGATAAAAATTTATTGTCTTTTCCTCATGTAATCCAGAGAAAGGCTTTGAGTATTTCTAATAACACTTTAGAATCTAGCACTAAGTCAATAAAGCCTGGTATTTGAGCAGATGATTTAGATCCTAATGTTCTAGTATTCCTTAAATAATAAATAATTTACCTAGATAAATCCTCTCCTGCCACCCCATGGCAATTTTAACCTGAAGGGGAGAGGAAGACATGACTAAATTTTCCCAGATTTGGGGAAAAGAATATTCCTCAACCATTCCCTTAAGTCTTAAAGAGTATGCATATGAGCACATCTTCCATTGAAGCCTGTTCCTGAATCTGAAGAGGTCTTCATTTCTTTGCCACAAAAGCAAGTTAACCACTAATTACAATTTGGCTGAAGTTCATTCACACCAATCCTCTGGCTATCTTAAAACGTTGCACTTCAGATTTCTCTGCCGTAAAGAAGAATCACTTCAGGAGCCACTTAGGGACTTCTTGGTGAGCTACAGAGACAGACATACTTGTGGTCAAAGGTGTCAATCTTTTGTTTACCGACACTGAACTCAACTCAGTGAGAATGCGATTTGAAGATAATCATTAAGTACTATATTTTAATAGAAAATATATAAGGAAATACATCAAGATATTAATAGTGGATTTATGTGGATGGTGGTTCTCCATGATACTGCATGGTGAAAAGATAATTTCAGCGACTCATGAGGTGAGGCTCTTGGTCAGGTATCTGCCTTGCAATAGTACAGTAGTGAGTTTTGGGAAACTTTGGAGGGAGATGGCTGGCAGAAAAATAAAAAGAAATACTGGAATATGATAAAATGGTATGGTAAATACACTTAGGGAAAAGGATAGATAAAGTAATAGACTTTAAAATGTGGCGATAGCCATTGATGTAACCTGTTTTCCATTTATGCCTAATTCCTACATGCACAGTAACAATTATGTCTGGCAATAAACATATGCAAACTTAACCATGTTTTATGTTCTATTTGAACAATATGGTGCTATTTACAAAGAGGCTTCTGGGCCTTTATAATTTGTCACTTATGTAGTACAGTAACCTACTAGAAAGCTAGAAACATGAGAGGGAAACAGCATATATATTTGTCAAATGAATATCTCACAGCTTAAGAGCATTTTATCATGCTAGATAAAACAGATTGGCTGCTCCCAAAACATCTGGTAAGCTAATTTTTGTAAAGCCAGCTACCGTGGGGAAATACCTTACAGAGCAGAAATACCTTACAGAGCAGAAATGTTACTCTCCCTGTACGCATGACGTAGGTAATCATGATAAAGGAGTCCAGGAGAGCTGCCCCACGCCACCTAGCACTGCCCAGTGCAGACAGGCATTCATATATTTCTCAAATTATCATGCATTTAATGGAAAATCCCTGCAACAAACATAGAAGTGAATGTAAATTTTAATGCCATAAATGGTCACTCAGATTTTTAAGATGTATACCATGAATCTCATAGTTTATAATCTGGAGAGAACCTAAACTCAATCTTGGAAATGAATGACTGCTGGAAGGGGCTTACAAGCATGGGAACCCACACAAGTGGCAAACTGTTAATATAGCTGAGACTTATTGCTGACAGCTGTTCTTTCCTCTGAATCTGCACAGTTAGTGCAGAATATTAAAACTGAGGTCCCAAGTGAGTCTTAAAAACTCAACTCTATTTTTTGTCTCAGTCCATATCCTCCATTTTGAAATTTTAAAAAGGTAAACCCAGATAATTCTTATGTCAACTGTCTCTTTATGCATTTTGGAACAAACAAAATTGTTTGCAAAAACAAACAAACAAAAAGAAGCCAAAAATATTGTATTGGTTATTGAAGGGGCTATCTCCATCTTCAAATGATTTTATATTGTGAGGTACACATTATGTGTATTGGATCACATGACTTCTTTGAGAGAAATTTGCTCAGAGAGTATTGACTGTGTACAAGTGAATTGCTGAGGGATAAAATTGATATTCAAAAATTTATTATCACATATATTGGATCACCATTTTAATGTCCTATGCCAGAGATACATGTCTTAATAAATAAAATAAATTGCTTAATATACTGAGGTGTTATTTCTCAGAGCTAAAGCTGGAAATTACAAAGTCATCTGTTTTTCATTCTCACCTCTCAACAAATTGTTTCCTTTATGAAAGAAACATTTTGCTATTTATTGCACAAGTGAATGTCTTTCCTTAAAAATGTCTGTGATGAGTTGATAGGAAACAATAAATATGTTTTATTGGTTGATATATATGCCTCAGAGACCACTACAATAAAATCATATTGAACTTGAAATTGAATCTATTAAATGAACTTTTCTGTGCCATAATATGTTCTTCTTATCCTCAAAATTGAAGGTATTTATATAAGTTGTCAGGTTTTTCCAGGGAGTAATTTGGATAATTCAGTTATGATTTACTGGCAGAAAGCAATAATTTATAAAGTGTACCCTTGAGTCTATAAAGAGTTAATAAAGCTTGCTACCACACAGTATATACTTACCAAGAGTAGCTAAAAACATAACGGATCTGGCAAGTTGTGTAAGAATATAGATGCTTAAACCATAGCCATATGCTAACACCTTTTTATTGCAAAGTGAAATGGCCTTGTATCATTTAGGAAAGTGTGTCCATTCTTGAAGAATTCATTAAGCAGTAGCTGACTTCTCCATAAAGTTTCTACCTCCCAAAGTAGCATATTTAGGCTCTGTTCTCCATTGAAAAATATTAACTGTGAAATTTCATGTGTAAGCAGTAAATTATCAGGACTGCACAGTGGACCAATTTTAGAAATAGCTAATCAAAGCCAATAAATTTCCCATTTGGGTGTAAGTGTGTAGCAGTGAGATCTAATAAGGGCTGTTGATAGACATTCACTGTCCCAATTTTCTGCTTCATCAGAGCGCGTAACTGAAGTGAAGACTGACATCTTCGTCACCAGTTTCGGACCCGTTTCGGACCATGATATGGTGAGTGACGTTGCATTTTTTTTTCTCTCTTGGGGTGTTTTCTAAATTTACTTTGAATGATAAATAAATACTAAGCATTTAGGGAACAACTTGAAATAACTTGACTATAGCTTTATGCCTATGTGCATAATCTATAATATAAAATGTATACGTAATATTTATATAATAGAAAATACCCATTTACTTCTCTGGCCAAGACTATTTATGGTTATCAATCACTACAACCTTCTTTATTTCCATCCCTGAAGTGACAGCTTTGCCTTGGTTTATGTTCTGTAATCCAAATAGTGTGAGTGTAAGTTATCTTCCATTTCAGTTAGGAGGATTCTAGGTTTCTGAGTAGCCAGCGATATTATAGAATAGCCATAAATATTTCTGTTACTGAATTTTTTTGGCTGCATAGGGGAAATGAATATAAAATCTTAATGCATATTTGACCAGCATTAGAAAGATAAATAGTTAAAATATACTAGTAAGAAGTATTCCGTTTCATTACAAAAAGGCATTCATTAAATTGTTATCAAGAGTATGAATAAAATGAAAGCATGCCTGTTCTTTCTTTTCCCAATCCCAATGACTTACATGCATTTCTCATCCATCTGACGGCACTGGTGCACCAGTAGAGCTCTGCAGCTATTCAATGTTTCCAAAGTCCTAATAGCCAAGCTCCTATATAAGCAAAAAAAAAAAAAAAAATCACAAGGAGGCCATGAAGATACATCATTATGAACATTTCAAAGATCTATTAATTGAATATTATTTTTGAAATGCCATATTAATGTAAAGGTCCTGATTTCATAGTAGCTCAGATGACTCAGACTAAAGGTTATAGAAAATATCAACTGAAACCAGCATTTCAACCAAAGTGTGAAATTTTCAGTGCACCCACCTTGGCTGGGTAACAGCTCGGACAAGTCCTGAAATAAGGAAACTGCTTAACGTCATATAACCTAGTATCTGCCAATTGTATTTACCCAAAATCCTTTTCCTTCAGGAACATCTATTGACGTTCTATAGACCTAATGCCTGTGAGTCAAACATTGGGAGATGCGGGCATGAAATGTACCAACTGTTACAAATTAGGGTCAGTGGAGAGTACATGAGAGACAGCAGAGTGGTGGGTAACAATACAGATTTCTGAACCAGAATGTCTGGGTTTACGAATCCAGCTCCTCCACTTATAAGAATAGTTCCTTGGGTAATATCTTTCTGCCTCAGTTTCTTCATGTGTAAGATGGAAGTAATAATAATAATAATACCTCATGGGGTTATCACAAGTGTTATGTGAATTAATACATGAAAAACACTTAAAACTTTTGGCGTATAATAAGCACTAAACAAATGTCAGCCATTATTACTCTGGAAGAAATAGAAATAAAGTTAGCCATAATTGTGGATTTATTGCTCCAGCAAAACATTTTGCCACTGTGGTTAGTCTATAGACTGCTTATTGAAATATTGTGTGATATAATAGTTGCTATATTGATTGCTCTCTGAGGACCTATTGTGATTCTTCCAGGTGGGAACTCTGTCTTCACACACACTATTCTCTCATACTGCTTTTCTAATTAAGATTTCATAGATCTCAGTCATGTTTAAGGTTAAATTTAAACTCCTCTGCTTATATTCCATACAATCCATAAATGATTTTATGAAAATGTCCTCATTTGTTCTAAATATTAACTATTCAATCATTTGTGTGACAAATACAACTTGGGGTTCAGCAGGACTGGCTCTAGAATTCAGGCTGGCTGAATGTGAATCTCCTCATAATCCTGACCTTGGGCAAATCACTTAAACTTACAGTGGGTATGGTACTATTATTACCTATTATTATAAGATTGTTAGGATTTTAAAAAAAATCTTTATTGTTTAGATTGTTAGGAATTTTAAATTAGATACACAAATGAAGCATCTATTGATAGTACTCAATAAATAATAATTACTATTTTGCCTCTGAATTCCTTATGTAACCTTCATGGAAATTTCCTCTATTCTATACCCATCTAAATCCTGTATTTCCACAAAGGCCCAAATAAAGACCCAAATGCTTTATAAAAATGTTTTAATTAATACAATATCAAAATAAATTTCCTTTTCAGCATTCTAATTACATTTACTGACTGTAAAATACAATTGAAGCTCACATAGAGCATTGCTTTGTAAAGTTGTTTTTCTTATAAAATGTCTTATTTTCCTAAAATGATGCAAATATACTAAAGATACAGTTTCACATTCCTCACAGTATCAGTGCGCTGCTAGCTTACCAAAAGTGTTGAATTATTACTTAATTGGAATAGGTTTAAGAGTCTATATTATCTTTAAAAATCAAGGTCTCAAGGGACTTAATAAATATTACCATTTTCCCAGCTTGAGTTCTGAACCTTTTGAGAAATAAGACAATGAGTAAGGGATATGAAATATGACAAAATCATCTTTATTCTTAATAATACTATTGTAGAAGGTGGCTTTTATCTGCAGAAAAGTGGGTTTTCTGAGAGTAAACCCTTGGATTAGCCAGATTAACCCACCTAGTCAACAGGCAGTGTTGGCCTCCCACTGCAAGGGTGTAGACTGTCCATGTGAACCTTCTAGCAGAGAGGTGCACAGAAAACTTTGTAAGCCTTATGAACAGCCAGCATCCAAAATGGAAAAGTCAAGAAAAAGAGGCTGTTACTGGCAAGACTGATTTTTTCTTCCAAATTCATCCATCAAGTTAAATTAGCTCTCCTTCCTCCCCTCCCCAAATAGAATAGTATTAGGGAATGGAGAACATTCAATGATTTATACTGGATCTGTGCTCTTCTAACTGATGGAAACATCAAGAGAAGAAGTAAGGCATTATAGACATCATACTCAGGCAATAATAATAATAATAATAATAATAATAATATATAATAAAAGAATAATATGCAGATTGACCATTACTCCAACACACAAGATGGCTGCTCCCATGTGGTCAAAGATCCTGCTCCCATCTATACACAAGATGGCCACCACAAGATGGCCAGCAGGACAGGGTACTTGGGAGGGACCAGGCCTGCAAGGGAAGGCAGTTGTGGGCGATAATGCAATCAGGAGAGGGCAGTTGGGAGGGACCAGGCCTGCAAGGGAGGGCAGTCCAATGAAACCTGGCCTGCAAGGGAGAGCAGTTGGGGGCAATCAACCCTGTAGGGGAAGGCAGTTAGGGGTGACCAGGCTGGCAAAGAAGAGAAGTTGGGGGCAAACAGGCTGGCAGGGGAGCAGTTAGACATCAATCAGGCTGGCAGGAGAGTGGTTAGGGGGTGATCAGGTTGGCATGCAGAAGTGGTTAAGGGCAATCAGGAAGGCAGGCAGGTGAGCAGTTGGGAGCCAGCAGTCCTGGATTGTGAGGGGGATGTCTAACTGCCTGTTTAGCCCCAATTCCACCGGGATAGGATCTGAATGGGCAGTCAGATATCCCTCAAGGGGTCCCAAATTGGAGAGGGTACTTTCATGCACAGGGCCTCTAGTAATAATAATGATGATGAATGGCTATTCTTTCTCTAGCTCTTAGTATTATGCCTAACAAAGAGTAGATGCTCAATAGGCATTGTAAAGAGATAGTAATGAACAAAGCTCTAGGCAATCAAAATTTTTCCTCTTGAAAAATAGTTGTCATGCCTTTGAGATATTGCTTCAGATTAACTGTGATTTAAGGAACCAATGATATCTATTTTTTGGTCTTAGACCAGAGGTACACAGTAGGATTTTTAACAAACCACTAACCCCATGATTATCATGAATTACTTTCCATGCATGGCCTTTGGTCACATAGTAGATAGGAAGAAGGGGAAGGGAGTCTATGGCCACTGATACTCCGTATTGCCTAAATATATAGAGCCAGACATCATTTGAATTGTTCTGTAATCATACTAGCCATAGGTCTGCAACTGATCTGCTAAGTGGCTAGTGGAGATGGTACCTGGCCACTTTGAGAAGATTAATCATGAAAACCGTGTTATAGTAGAATTATGCATAAGACAGAGCAGCATGATTTAGAAACTGTCAGAATTGGAAGGCAGAATGTCAAAGCAATTTTTAAGACAGGAAAAGCTTCATAGTTTTTAAAGTGGGAACTAATAAAGTATCTAATTAATAATAGCCATTATGACACTCAATATTATTGGACACTTACGAAACGGTAGGCACCAGGCTAAGGGTTTTTTAGACCATATCTCATCTAATCCTAATACTCAACATTTTAGCTAAGTATTCTTATTATCCACATTTTCCAAAGGAGGCAAGTGACCCAGCTACGGAGCAACTTGACCTCAGAATGTCTGTCTCTAGCGGCTCCACAGCTCCCTAAGCATCTGACTTCAACTGGAATAGAAAACAAAATTAGGACAACTCCTTAACTTTGTTTTAAAAACCATTAATTAGCAATCAAACAGCACATTCTGAGGGCACGAGGTTCTGACAGAAATATCCAGTGGCACAGCCACAGAGCACTGCTTTCCACGATGCTTACAATGTAGTAAGCCAAAGCACACACAGATGGCAATAGATGGTGCAAGCAGGAACACTTCATTACAGTACTTATTTGGGAACATAAGACGTTTTGCCCAATCTTCAGAACAAGTCTTGCGTTTTTGAGGGACCTACTCTGTTGAACAAGATAGCTTGGAGAGACTTTTCACCTGAGTGGTGGGGGTTGGGACTGTGATCCCTGAACAAGTTCTTCACCACTGCTTCCTGTTTGTTAGACAGCCTTCTGTGGAGTCCTCTCTTTTGCCTCTGTCTTTACTTTGCTTGGTTATTATCACCTTCTTGTTTTTCCTCAGGATTTCTGCCCTAACGCCATTTCAAAGAAATAGAAAATTTTCATTCCCATCTACATAAAAATCCATGATAAATATGTTCATAAAAATAATAAAGTAGGAGATGTATAATAACGTCTAACATTTACTAAGAGCTTCCTAGGTTCCAGACAAACTGTTTACTTAATGTAACTAACTTATCAAAAGAGCAAGTGAAAATAAGTGCTGCTATCATCCCCATTATCAATTGGGAAACCACAGTTTAGAGAAGGTAAGAAAATGGCCTAAGGCCTTTCAGTGGGCACAGACAATTCAAGCTCTAGTTAGTAGGTGGAGAATTTATTTCTGTAACAGTTATACTATGGCTCTGGCCTCTCCTTCCTCTTGTTTCAATTTCCGGAAGAAGGGGTTCTGGCCTAACTTGGCCTAATGAACTGTTACTGGGGGCAAGGTCATGCTCTACAAGGTGCTGCTGGCAGCCAGCTGCTGCTACCATGGCAATATTTCAGGGGCAGATCTCAGGACACGGGAGACCAAATATTTACACTCGAGTGGGCAGGAGCTGATCCTTATCAACTCCTTTTATTTCGTTTTCATTTCCACTTCTAACAGAGGAGAAATAGAAATGAAAACGTATCCAATTAATTTTGTTACGTGTGTGTGTGTGCGTGTGTGTGTGTGTGTGTGTGTGTGTGTGTGTCTGTGTTTGTGTGTGTGTGTGTGTGTGAGAGAGAGAGAGAGAGAGAGAGAGAGAGAGAGAGAGAGAGAGAGAACAGTACATTTGAAAAGAGAATATCTTAAATGAACTTGGGGATTTCATTGTCTGTTATTAGCACAGGTAAGTAAAGCTGGCGGTAAACATGATATCCATGTAAATATGAGAATTTTTTCAAGACATAATTTTGAAATCACTGACTTTGGTATAGATCTTGCCAAAGACTTGATAACAGATATATTTCCAGTTTATTCTACATTAACATATATCTTCAAAAATATCCTTGAAGCAAGCAAACAAATGAACCCAGTTTTTAGATTCATGAGGAATTGGACAGTTTAGATTTCACATCCTTGGAACTTTCATTTACAAGTGGCCATTCCCGCTACTGCTGACCAAGCTAAAGTAGTCCAGTTGGACAAAGAAGAGAGTATATGTGGCTGACTACCGAGTAATGGCAATCTCATCCTGATCTCATACTCTGGCCTGTTGTCTAGAGAGGAGAACATGCGCAGCCCAGAATAAATGCACCCACAGCTACCTCCTCTCCCTCCCCCCAGCACTATTACTTTGTATCGCTTCCTGATGGAATGAATCTGCAGGCTCCCTTGCCATTTCTCTCCTCACCAGAGACCATTCTATGACTACCCTATTCCTCAAAGAGTTCTTCTTACAGCATCCAAATGAAACCATTTCTCCCTCTGCTGAATTTAACAGATGCTTAAACAAATGTTTCTTGGTGAGTAAATTCCTATCTCATGCATCTTAGTGCCTTTATCTGATTCTGACAGATACAAAAAGGCCCAACCATCAATCAAGGTAACTTTCTTTGTCTACAAAGATAGATTAGCATCATGTTATACTTTTTTTGTTTCAATCAGAGTTTCACACTTTGCTTAGTGCATTATAAACTACCCAATATAAAGTGATCAGTAAAGGCCCAGCAGAGCCAACTGTGCACCAAGAATGAACCTTCAGGCTTGACCCAATCTTGCTTCAAGTCTGAGAGACAGGTAGTTAAATTCATGCACAAAATGCCTAAACACAGACATTAGTTTGCAAGCTGAAAAGTTGATACAGATGTGATTAAAAAAAAAAAAAAACCAAGAAGCAGCTTTCTGATGCATCAGAGTTAAGTAAATGTAGGGCAATGTCTTCAAGTTAACCTTCCATCTAGTTTGGAGCATGCTAAGATTAATGGAGAATCCAGTAATCTTTATTTCAAACCATTGAGTTCCAAATTTAGTGTCAGTGTAGCAAATCCTGCAAGGAAGATGGATAGTACCGTTTTTAATTTTAGGAGCTGGTAAGTCACATTGCTTGTATTCAGATCAGCAGATGTTTATCTCTGGGTATTGCCATAAGGAAAGCTGTGTTTATTCAAATAGACAGAGTCTCTGGCTGTGAATGATGACGAGCTTCACACATTTCTCATGTGTCCTATACACACCAACACTCAAAAACACACACTCACACATGCACCCTTATTCTATAGTCTTTGTTTCTTTGGAAAAGATCTAAATTATCAGCAAAACAGATTCCTTATTTTCATATTCATCTTCATTGCGTAGAGTTGAAAGTGTACATACATTATCTATGATAAATGTTCAACTTAGCAAAAAAAAGGAGATAGGATTGTTACCCTCACATTGGAATCATGAATGATTTGGGATTGAGTGTGAAGTCTCCGGATACCATGAAGAACCCTCCAAAACACTATACTTTATCTTTATCATTGGAATTGTCTCATTAAAAAGTGTTCTTATATTAATAACTTCTAACATGACTTCCATTTTTATTTGCAAGATATTCTATTTCTTTAGGTGCTGGTGTAGTAGAGGAGGGTTGGGGGCAGGGTGTTATTTTCATTTATCTGAGGAGATAACCAGATCCAAGAAATATTTCAAAAAATGATTATGCCAACCAGTGATTCACCTGACATTGACATGTACAGACCACCACAAGCTTACTTCTAGAAACATCACTGAGCTCGTATTTTATTTCTAAAGTTGCAAAAATTATGCATTGTCAGTGTAGGATATTTGCATTGCAAATTAGAGCACAGTAAACTCTTTGCCATTTTCCATAATTACCCAGGAATATACTATAGATGTATTTTTCCGTCAAAGCTGGAAGGATGAAAGGTTAAAATTTAAAGGACCCATGACTGTTCTCCGGTTAAATAACCTAATGGCAAGCAAGATTTGGACTCCAGATACCTTTTTTCACAATGGAAAGAAGTCAGTGGCACACAACATGACCATGCCCAACAAACTCCTGAGGATCACGGAGGATGGTACCTTGCTATACACCATGAGGTATGGAGGACCATCCCTTTCTGTCCTTCCTTTTTTTCTGTGGGTAGGTAATCATTAAGCTGATAGGCAATGGTAGGACATCTGGTTTCATTTTTTCCCTATTATTCAACTTCAATAATTACTCTATTATCGATATGAAAAATAAGCTAGCTAAACTATTACACAAGTATTAAGTGTTATGTAAAATGACTAGATAAAATAAAAGTGTTTACAATACTAGTATATATTAAGTAATTCAATGCATTTTTCCCACATCTTCTAGTGCAATATGAATAACTTCCTTTCCCTACAATTAACTTCATACATTCCTGCATGCCAATAAGGTCTAGATCAAATTTCTAAAAGCCACCTCAAGGTGTATATATGATAATCTTTCTAATTATAAAGAAGGGGGAAAAAACAAAGGAAGGTTCAAAAGTCTTAGAAGTGATAGGTTCATGTGGAAGTATACATTTTGAAGGGGGATGTGAATTTATAATGATATTGTTAGTTAGGTTAAGAATATAGATATTTTAAATGTTGCTTAAATTCAAGACTAGTATATATTTATGCTTTATAAACATTCCCCACAATTTGAGATTACCAGATCCTAGCATCTAGATAGCAATAATATATTTATAGCTGAATGAAGGAAATATGATTCAAATAAAACTTTGAATATTTTTAAGAAAATAGAAATGTTTAAAAATATTTACATACGTTTATGACTCATTTTTAAGGGAAATAACTATTTCATACCCAGTTGACTTGTTAAAATGTTGTTTTTGTAGATCTGGCCAACACTTGGGTAATTCAGACCGTATTGGAATGGAAAGACAATGAAGGCAAAATCCTAGACTTGGAGGATTCTATTTAGCATGGAAATAGAGTGATATTTTTCCTTTGGAGAGAGCTCCCAAAATTTCTAGCTTACTTTTAATATTCAAATAAATACTAAATATTCAAATAAAATATTCAAATATTAAAAATGCTTCAAGAACTACTTTAGATGTTGGACTCAACTAGTATAATTATAATAAGACTTAAAAAATTTAAAAAAATTAAAAAGAGATAAAATAGAGGATCAGATACAGGTAGACCTTTCCAGATCATCCAAGCAGGATCTATTGATATTTGAAATTTGAAATAATCTACCAAGTAGCTGCCCAGATGGCAATATTTATAATGTCTGGCCTTCCTTTTGCTCATTTCCTAGTATTAATAACTAGCTAATTACAATATTATCAATATGAATAAATATATTTTCTAAAGATCATGTGAGGAATTGGGTCATAAATTCCCTCAAAATTCCACCAAAGAAGAGCAAAATTATTTCAGCAAATTCCTTTCTTACATACTCTTTTTAAAGTGAGAATGGAATTCGCATTCCTAAGAGATATGGACTAAAGGGAAGCACATCATCATCCTGACTTCAGTTAGGCAACGGCTTCTTAAATAAAACAATGGTTGTGATATAGTGAGATCACATCTTCACTCTATAGGATACTTATGTTAATCTCAATTACACAAACCATGAGGACACAGTTCCTGTTTCACCTCTTCCTTTGATTTATATATTTGATGCTATTTTAGAGGATGAGGTAGGGAGAACTGCTTGTAAGAAAGGAGAATTTCTTTTCCCCCCCTTTCTATCCATAAATTCTTCATAATGAAGGATAAATTGGTAAATTTGCAAGTATTTATTTGCTTATATCCAGTCTCATCCTTGAAGGATTTAGTGTTGCTAGGTGGATTATTGATGATACTTGTTTTGGAAAACATTAATAATTCTTGCTCAATCATACAGAATCAGGTGTCACCTACTTTCTCAAAACAAACAAAAATGGGGGGGGGGAATCATAATTATAAATAATTCTTTTTAGATCATTTGATTACTAACAGCTCAATATAGTGCTACAGTTTATGACAGTCTTCCTGCTTTGTTAATATATTTGCTATAGGTAATGATATTACATTTGTATGTATCAGGAAGTATCTAACCTATAGGACTCTTCTTTGTGTCCCATATTTTTCCTGAAATAATAAGGCTGACAGTGAGAGCTGAATGCCCAATGCATCTGGAAGACTTCCCTATGGATGCCCATGCCTGCCCACTGAAATTTGGAAGCTGTGAGTAAATTTATCCTCATTTTTAATTATTTTTTAATGAAAGAGCTAAGTCTTTACATAAGCAAGAGATCTCTAACTAAGTTTGTTAGATTTATAAAGAGCATCAAGAAAGTTTAGTGAATTGCTGCAATATATCCTAAAAGTAAAAATCTTCTTTTATATTTTTATTAATTTCAGGGAGAAAGAGAGAGGGGGAGAGAGAGAGAAACATCAATAATCAGTTGCCTCCTGCACGCCCCACACTGGGGATCAAGCCCACAACCCAGGCATGTATCCGGACCGGCAATCGCACCTTGACGTCTGGGTTCATAGGTCAATGTTCAACCACTGAAGCCACACCTATCTACACTAATAAAAGAAAAACATGCAAATTGAACGAACCTCCACTAAGCCCGCCATGGTGGCCTTGGCCTCTGTTCAAGGCTACAAAGTTTCAATTATAGAAAATAAATAAATCCCGGATACCTGCTTCCAGTTGGACCTGGCCTCCACTCAAGGAGTCACAGAAAAAAAGAAAGAAAAAAACTGAGGGGCTAAGAGCTTGGGTTGCCGGGGTGTGTGGCCAGCCTGCAAACAGCCCTCACCATGGAATGAGGGTTCCCACTAGGGGGCTTGACCAGCCTGCAAGCATCCATCAGCCCCTCAACCAGGTTGGCCAGGCACCCCCAATAGGGACCCTCACCCTATGGAGGCATGGCCGGCCTACAAACCGCTGCAGGCCCCTCACCGAGACCGCCCCACACCCTAAGGGACCCCACACCTTGATCCCAGACACCCTTCAGGGCAAACCAGCCAGGTCCCACCCATGCACCAGGCTTTTCTCTGTACTAATAAAAGGGTAATATGCTCATTAGACTGGGAGACCTTTCAGGGGACCTTCTGGACTTTCTTCTGGACAAAGCCATGGTGGCGGGGCTGAGGTAGAGGTGGTTAGAGGTCAAGAGAGGAGGGCTGTTGTGGGTGATCAGGCTGGTGGGGGTGGGGCTGCTGGAGGTAAGCAAACCAGCAGGGGGGGCAGTTTCCAATAATTAAGCTTACACCTAAAATATACAGCCAGGAACAAATTTACCTGATCAAAGTCTTCAGGATGTTATAGGTCTGTTAGCATACTGCATAAAGCTCATGTATATATTAGTGCTTTTGAAGGTCTCTTAGATCAATCCCTTTCATAATAATTTTCTGGGTTTCTTCTACTAAATAGGAGGGCACACATTTGAGGAGCCAAGAGAACTGTGGCCCCAGAGCCAGGTTCTCTGACCTTCCTCTCCCCTTCTGCTTTTGACCAGTGTGCAGGCAGAAAGTGTGTGGGATAATGCATTCCTGGTTTCCTGCAGGGGATGTACATACAAAGACTGAGTCAACTCCTGGACTTACCTAACCAGCTGTCTGTTCTCTCTAGATAAACAATCTAAACAATTATTTCAGTGACATTATATGATTCATAGAAGAAGACTGTGGTAGTGTAGGAAGAGAGCAAGCAAAGAAAATAGCAAAGGACCTTCAGGCTCCTAACAGCACTAGTCATGGAGAGACAAATTTCTTTTTTTATGAGTCTCATTCTATAGTGAAACCCAAGGATATAGTACTTCACAAGCTGACTGCTCAATAGAACTTTGGTGATAAGTCCCTCTTATCCATTATTTTCCCATTTTAATGAATGTTTTATGTCAAGAACTATGATGTTTTCTCCTGATTACAGTTTCATTTTTAACAATGGTATTATGTATTATGTGTTAGTTGTATGTCAGGCAGTACAGTAAGCATTTGTGTATGCATCAGTTCATCTAATCCACAAATTATCCTCATAAGTAGGCATATCAAACCTCATAGTAGCCTGACGTAGTTTGGATGCAGGCTACTGCCTTACCCTTACTTCATCTCTCATGTACTTCACTCCAGCCACATTGGTCTTCCTGTCCTCACACATGCCACACTTTTACCTGCCCTGGAGGAAGAATCTTGTTAGTTTGTCTATTCATAGGAACTCTTTTCACCATGACTGAAGATGACTCATTCTCTCAAGCCTTTATAAAAATGTCACTTCTTCAGTGACCCTCTCTGAGTCCCTAAAACAGGCCCTATCCCCTTCATTTTCTATCCCCTGACCTTTGGTGTATGCTTTATTATATTTAACACTACTTGAAAGTATACATTGATTAGCTTATCTGGTGTTGCCCCCACCACTTGCAACGCCCATTCCCTAAGATCAGGGAACCTCGTTAATGCTCACTGCTATAGCCTCAGAAACGTGATTTGTCCTTTGCAGATGCTTAGTGACCATTTGTTATGAGAGTGAACAGATAACTGAATGAATCAGGGACATGTGTTTCAGTGTTCCTAAACTAAGGGACATGGGCTCTCTGTTCCTAGCCTGCCCCTGGAACCATGAACTAGAAAATATGAAGATGATAGAACACACCAATTCATTAGGAGAAGCAAAGTGGCATGACACATGGACTGTTTTCTGTTCCTTTCTTTTAGATGCTTATACCAGGGCAGAGGTTGTTTATGAGTGGACCAGGGAGCCAGCACGCTCAGTGGTGGTAGCAGAAGATGGGTCACGCCTCAACCAGTACGACCTTCTTGGACAAACCGTAGACTCTGGAATTGTTCAGTCCAGCACAGGTAAGCGCCATTTGGCAACTCCAGAAATAAAGAAGGGAGCATAAAAGATTTTTATGTGTAAGTCTTTCAAAAACCCCAGTAAGAGAAAGAGGGGGGAAAAAAAGTACTAAACTGGGGTACAATTGACTTGAAAACCTGTCATCTTAGACTTCATTTAATGCCCTTTGTCCTGTGTTCATCTACAAAATAAATAACTGATTCTATGTGATCAGTATAGCACAATATTTAGGTATGTGAACTCTTAAGGAAGAATGTTTGGGTTAAACCCTTACTCCTCTACCTTGCCAGTTGTTTGTGGTCACCTCACAAGGTGGTTGGAAAGAAAAAATTACATCCGCTAAAAATACATACCACAGTTCCTGGCACATAAAATGCTCTCAGTGGGGCTTGGCTGGATAGCTAGGTTGGTTAGAACATTGTCCCACTACATCAAGGTTATGGGTTTGATCCCAGGTCAGGGCACAGACAAGAATCAGAAAATAAATGCATAAATAGGTGGGATAATAGATTAATTTTTCTCTACCTCTAAAAATCAGTAAATAATTTTAAAAACTCTAATAAATGTTAGGTATCAATATCAACTAGTCCCCATAGTGAAATTATGGCAGTGATCATTACACATGACACATCAAAAAACAATTCATTCTACAAATCCATTTGTATCTGTAGCCAAGAATCTTCCTTAGCTATTAGGTCTAGTAATAATTAATGTCGTTTCTAATACTTTTTTTAAATCGAATTTATTTAAACAATACAACAAAATTTAATCAACAATATATTATAGTTGCCGTTGTTTTCTACTACTTGTGCCCAACGCTCAGGAAGCATTTTAATCCCTCTGTTGTAAAATTCTTGTGATTTTGATGCAAAAAATTCGGTCAATGCATTTTTGAGGCATTCTTCATTATTAAATTTTTTTCCAAGAAGAAAGTTTTGCAAAGAACAAAACAAATGGTAATCGGAAGGGGCAATATCAGGAGAATATGCAGGTTGAGGGAGAACTTCCCATTCCAACTGGCGCAGTTTTTCAGCAGTGATTCTTGTAGTATGCGGTCGTGCGTTATCGTGGTGAAGAATTACGCCCTTCCGATTAATCAGCGCGGGTTCTTTTTCTCTTAAAGCTTGGGCTAACCTTTCCAATTGGGCACTATACACTGCACTTGTAATGGTTTGGTCAGATGGTAAAAGTTCATAATGAAGAATTCCTTTAAAATTCCACCAAACACACAACATCACTTTTTTCGCATGCAAGTCAGGTTTTGGCGTGGGCTGCGGAGCCTCATTTTTGTCCAACCATTGAGGCCGCCTTTTCAAATTAACATACAGCACCCATTTTTCATCTCTGGTAACAATTTGCTCTAAAAACGGCAAACGGTTTTGACGAGAGAGGAGCGAACTGCAAATTGTGACTCTTTGATTACGGTTGTTGTCGGTCAACTCATGAGGAACCCATTTTCCAAACTTTTGGACTTTGCCAAGTGCACGCAATTGATTGGAAATTGTTTTTTGTGAACAATTTAAAGTTGTCGCAAGCTCTTGTTGGGTAATTTGAGGATTTTGCACCAAAAGAGCTTGAAGAGCTTCTTGATCAAAATTGGACACACGGCCTCGACCACTCTTGTCATCTAACGAAAAATTTCCCTCGCGAAATTTCTCAAACCAACGCTGGCATTTTCTGGCGCTAACTGCATCTTGACCAAGAGCACTACAGATGTTTTTTGCAGCCTCACTTGCTTTTCTTCCTAATTGGAACTCGTAAAGCATGCAGTGCCGAATATGCTCTTCATCCGCCATCTTCTTAGCCCTAGTTTTGCAACAAAAACCAAACCAAACACAAACTTTTCAAGCAAAACTTGTTAATTGCACTTCACACGTTCCGTAGATACCACGTGTTTGAAGGTTATGTCAATACAAGTCAACGCCAAGCAAGATTTTAAATGAATGTTTAAAAACGACATTAATTATTACTTGACCCGATATATCCTATAGAAATATAATGACATTACTGATAACTCCAGTTTGGAATTAAAAATAGGTGGCATGCCATCTTTCTTAGAGTCATGACTATCTTACCAATGCAATCCTCAGAAATAGATCAAATAATAATAAACAGCTGGATCCAAAATTTTAAATTTGTACCAAGAAATGAGGTAATAGTTTAATTATGCAAGTATCCATTTTGTGATTAACTTAATTGTGATCATAAGGGCATATAATTATAAATAAATTTGGGGTTCTAACAATTAGTAAAAGTTACCCCCTCCAATCCCAATATTTTCAACTATGTTCAATTACTGAAAGTGTAGGAAGACTCAACAATTACTTTTATGGATGTTTTTAAAATTTTAAATTAATTTCTTCATTTTGATTTATAATTTCTAAAGACAACTTAGTAATAAGGAAGGGTGGGGTTGCTTTTTTCTTCTTTCTCAAACGTGTTTTTCTTAGATTTCAGTCTTTATATTGGGACCCTGATCATTCTAACATGTTTAAGAAATAGGTCAATATTTCTTACTGAGATTATAGGATAATCCCTGCTTAATAGAATTTGTGTTTTTCTTACTTTAAAGTATATATGGCTATCCTAAAAGCTCAAATATTTGTGTTTCTTCTTTTGAAAAATGGAGAAAGTTGTTTTTCAGTTTTAAAAACATTAAAAATGCACATAGAATTGACAAATTTTAAAAATAATGAATTTAAAAAATTTATGTAGCATAGTGGACAGGACATAGGCTTTGTAGTGAGAAAGATGTGGACTGAATTTCTGGTCCTGTCCCTTAAAAGAAGCCTTGTGACTTTTCAAAGCCATATATACAATTACAAACTTTGATCTCTTCTAAGAATGGGGATTCTATAATTTTGCATTCAAGATGAGATAGCATAAAACATTGATTACAATGTTTATATAATGAATGCTCAAAATGATATATAGTACTTGTTGTTATAGTCCTAAAAATATCACAGAATGTGGAAAATACTGAAATTTTTTCTCCTCACAAGTTATGTTGGAAAATATATTAAAATGAGTATTGTTGACTTTTTAGAAATGGAATGCTGCTATAAGTTGGATATTATGGCAGGTACTAGGGAGTCGATGATAGACAAGGCGGAAATCTTGCTGCCATGAAGTCTAAGGGAAGACAAACACATAAACTATAACTATCAAAATGAGTGGTCAGTGCCATGGTTAACATTTTTGTGAGGGCATGGACTACATCTGTGTGTTGTTGTTTTTTTTGTGTGTGTGCCCCTAGCATTTACTGTAGTAGCTGAAATATAGGAGGTACTAAGTAAATAAAAAGTGAATTAATCTAGCCTAGAATAATCAAGGATTAGTGCAGGATTTAACTTTCATTTTGTTAATCTGTATTAATTGAAAGCCAAACAATCAGTCCCCCATTTATTATCATTAGGATGGAAGTTGGAGGATTTCAGGGAAATAGTAATTCAAGTGCAGCAGCACACATGCAATAGACGTATATACAAGCCACAAACGTTACTTGGAATGCCTTCATTTAGTCCCAGCACCAGTGACTTCTCTATGCCCCAGTTCTCATGTCTGTAAATTGATGTCTTGTCTGATTAACTTGGAGACCACTTTCATCTCTGGCTTCTTGAGGATTCAGCCTATCTGCATTCTAGTTACTCAGAAAGATGCACAGTGACAAAGAGGGGCAATAGATGAGACAGTGACTTAACTCATTAAGCTGTCTGGACCTCATAAATTTGGTCCATTAAAAGTCATCATTCTGTGCTATAGGGACAAATTTATCTGTACAAAATGGGAGCTTTTTCTTATCATTCCCATAATGAGTATTGGTGATATTGGTGAGGAGAATAATGACCAAATTCTCAAATGCAGGGGTTCAGTTCAATGCACATTTTCAACTCCATATATGACACTTAAGTGTAGTTACACTTCCGCTGAGTCTACTATGGCTCATCAAAAATCCACCTTGATGCCCTAACTGGTTCGCCTCAGTGGATAGAACATCAGCCTGTAGACCAAAAAGTCCTGTGTTTGATTCTGGTCAAGGGCACATACCTTGGTTGCAGGCTCCTCCCGGGCCCAGGCCTGGTTGGAGCTCATGCAGGAAGCAACCAATCAATGTGTTTCTCTGACATCGATGTTTCTCACTGTCTTCCCCTTTCTCTTCTACTCTCCCTTAAAATCAATGGGAAAATGTCCTGGGGTGAGGATTAACAACAAAAAATCTCACCTTGATAGACTTCTGTGGGAAGAAACAAAGATCTTTTGTAAAGTCTGCAATTCCATATTTCACATCTCCTAGTGGAGCCCTGAAAACATCAAGATAAATGACATTCGGTGCTATTACCTCCCTGATTCTGCCAGAAGACTAGGAATGATGGCAGGAGAGAGCACACACACTGACAATGATTAAATAAAGAACATCTTTTTCCACCTTAAAGTCTCTGTGGGGAGAGAATCAATTCAGATAATCTTTTAGAAGGTTAGAAGGTGTGGTTCCACTTGCCTGCAATCCACACTCACATGGAACAAACTCACACACACTACCAGTGACCTCTTGCAGGTCAAAATACCCAATTCTATAACACAGGAGCAAAATATATGAGGCTCAACCCAATACTTGGGTTTTTTAGAGGTGCAATTCCTTTCTTGGAGTCTGCCATCATATTTTAGGGAAGAAAATGAGTCAGAGACATAGCTTTTAATGTACTTACTCAACTGGCAGAGCAAAACCTTTAAAGACACATAATGAGCTTTCAAATCCACTACAATTATCTGTTATTCATTTACTCTCTTATTCCTTTACTTATTTTCTCATGTTCTGTGCTTAGGCCTGGAGAAGGACATACAGTTCCTATTCTTAAGAAGCTCATAGTTGAATGATGGAGACATTATTATTATCCCCATATTTATATATGGGACATAATTGAGGCCCAAGAGAGGCTTAACTATTTTTCTACAAATAATGGCAGGGGATTTGAACCTGGGTAGTTGAGCTGCAAATTATGTCCTGTCAACCACATACTCTGATACACCGGTAACAGGCAGGACAGGCCTGTGTGGAAATGTAACCATGTGGTGAAGCACAGTTTAAGAGTATGGATTCTCAAGTTTTACTATCAGGGTTTAAAGGCTGTTTTTAACTTATTAACAGTGACCTCTGGCAAGACCTTTCTCTGTTTATCTTTTGCACTATTTGGAGATAATAAGAGATTGTACATTATGAGCTACTATGAGACTAAAATGAAAAGAAAATGCATATAGACTGATGAGTAGAGTATCTGACATGTAAAAATTATATAATAAATATTAGCTATTATTATTAATGATAGAATTAGTACAAGAGAGCTACCTGATGACATAAAGAAGAAGAGCTTTTTCTACTTTATGTATTGGAAAGGCAGTCTGGTATAGATGCCAGGCATTGCCCTTGTTCCATTCTACTATCCCACAGTATGCTTTCTAAGTAATTATTTAAGGATAATCCACGTAAAAATTATAAAAGTGATTAAAGAACATGACAGTTTGACCTACAGAGAAGTAAAATAATTATATTGCCATTAGTCATAACTTCATGGCCAGAAGAGAATAAGAGTGAAATAATATGTAATCCTTTTTAAAAAACACACAATGACTACAAAGTCTTCATATTTACCCTAAGTCAACACACAGATTTGATAAAAGGAAATGTACATTAGTTTTGCTGAACAGAAATGTCTTTTCTTCATGAATGACTTATAACAGATGATCAAGAGGGTCCTCTTTCCAGTTTCCTGTGGATGAAATGATTTAAGGATGTATTGAGTTAGGGTTACTTGGTAAAAATAAATGAGGAACTGAATTGTCTTCCCTCACCAGGGAGCAACAATGGTGATTAACCTTCATGAAAGGAACCTGAGGGTCCCACTCACACAGCCTAGTGCATTGGTTGGCAAATCGCGGCTCCCAAGCTACATGCAGCTCTTTGGCTCCTGGAGTGTGGCTCTTGCACAAAATACCATGTGCGAGTGCACATGTATAGTGCGATTGAAACTTCGTGAGTAGATGTCAGTTTTTGGCCTGGGCAAGTTTATTTTGAAGAAGTGGCGTTAGAACACTCAAGGAGCCAAAGAGCTGCATGTGGCTCCTGAGCCATGATTTGTCGACTACTGGCCTAGTGCATGGTATTCAGAGAAATAATTTTAACCATTAAATGTGAAAACTAGAGGTGGGAAAGGGAGACTTCTATAGTTACCTGGTCAATCTACTCATATTTCAGATAACAAGACAGGTCCAAAGAGGCTAAGTGGCCTAAAACTATAATCACTGTTTCATTTCTATTTCAGTATACTTTGAAGCAGAATTTAAAATACCAACCACTTTGCCAATGATATTTTTAATATCTTGTTCCTCTTAAAGGAGTAGTATTTATAGAAAATACTAACTTTTGAATACTTGGAAGAAAAAAATAATAGCTGTACATGGAATCAATGCTTACTACAATTTTGTTGAAAAAGTGAATGGTTTATCTCTTGAGCTGGAGAGAATACATTGCTAATCTTTCTTTCTTTACACTGCAAATCTGCAAGTGACTCCCAATATTTAAAAAATACTCTCCTGTCTATCATTTAATTTTATCCTCACAGCATTTCAGGAATAATGAAGTAAACACTATCATTTTAATTGAACAAATGAGAAAAAGTCCAAGAGATTAAGCAAGGTATTTACCCTTCAAGTAACTAACATTTGAGAAAGCAAAGAATGGAGGCCAGGTCTACACAAACACTTGATTCTGCTTTAAAAAATTAAATCCCTGCTTCTATTTTTCTACTCCCCTTAATTTTGTATTGTAATGTAACAGAAATATTGTCACATCTAACTTTCAAGATTCGCTCAGGGTTACATGATGTACAAGAATATTTAAATTACAATTCTTCTAGATTGTTGAGTTAGAGGAAAATAATTTGACATGCTTAGTGTACAAATACTTGCTATCTAGACATAGTCTTTTAATCCAATTTAGGAGACCATTTTTGTTGTTGTGTTTTTCCTTCCTTTTTTAAATTATTACAACATGATTTTGATTTGGCTGCCTTTTTCTTTCCTTTTTAAAATATTTTATGCCAAAACTTAGATTTTGTTTAATTTGGGAAGATGATTTTAAAAGATCTTAAATTCTCCTTTTTTTTTTTTTTTTTTTTTTTTAGTAAGGAAGTGGTTTATAAAATAAGTATAATAAATAATTGCTCTTCAGAACATCAAAATCATATTTTTGAAGAATTTTCCCAAAATGGCACACTGTGAACAACAAAAGATGATAATGACATATATGTAGAGACACATATCATCTTTCTAATATTATATGAAAGGTATGTCTTAGATGCATGTGCCAGGATAAGGATGTAAGACTATCAGTGACATCCTTGGTGCATCAATCTCATCCTCAGAGCCATTTTGTCATGTTATTAAAGTTTATTTTTTTTTCTCTTTCCTGGATAAAAGCCTTTCTCTTCAGGAACTAAGTTTCACATGGAGAAAGGACGTGTCTAACCTCCAGGTCTTTGTTGCTGATGGAAAACCTCAGAGATTAACTTTTTTTTTCAAGGTCAAATTGCTCAAAGTTACTGTCTGTTTCACCCTCTAGGAGAATATGTTGTGATGACCACTCATTTCCACCTGAAAAGAAAGATTGGCTATTTTGTTATTCAAACATACCTGCCATGTATAATGACCGTCATTCTGTCCCAAGTCTCCTTCTGGCTCAACAGAGAGTCTGTACCGGCAAGGACTGTCTTTGGTAAGTGCCAATCAGAACATGCATGCGAGGGTTTGGAGGGCAAGTTATTCGGGTGCTAGTGCAAAAAGAATGAAAAAAATAATTGTACATTAAAATATGAAGTTAGTACAATCCAAATTGTTTATTATTTAAAAATTATTGCCCTAAATAGCAAGCTGCTTCAGTGAAAGTAAATTGATGTGATTAATGAACATTTGATCTGATGTTTTGGGAGACAAACTGGAATGATGCAGGCATAAAGTGTATCATACTAGATTAAAACACACATACACACACACACACACACAGAGAGAGAGAGACAGAGAGAAACATTAATATTTAAAGCCTATTTTTAGGTTGCATAATCATACACCTGTGTATTTTTTTTTTAGAATTTAAGAAAACATCAGAACTACTTCCTTACATATATGAAAGCAGGGTTTCCTTACATTGAGAGAAAGCATTAGACCATATCATATGACAGTACAGGAATACTTCATTTACCTATAAATGTGCACTTCTAAAGAATTATAAATATGCATTTTTATTAAAATGGTTAAAATGCCCTTGGTTCTTCAAGTTAAGGCAAGCTAATGGAAAATTGCTTAAAGGGTAATAAACTTTTAGTAATAGGAAAAGTCATTCCCTAATTTATTATTTAAGAAATTTGTACTTCATAAAAAGTGTGATACTATCTTAATTATAATTTTTAGGCTGATAGAAACAAAAGAGTCCATAACCATAAACTTATTGATTCATTTCTTCATTAAGTGATTTTTATTTGAAGTCTACTATGAGCCAGACACAGAATACAGCAGTGACCTTAACATAAGCCACTCCCCTTATGAAGGTTATAACTTGGAGCTTAATATTTGAATAACAACACAATCATACACATTGTTTACTGAGTGTTTTTATTGCAGGCTCTGTCCTATGGGGAAAAAAACCTACACTATCTTACTTAATACTAAAAAGAAAAACCTTGTGTGTTAGAAAAAAGCTAAAAAAAACAGGAGATTTTTATCCTTGTGTTAGAAATAAGAAAGCTAAGGAAGAGGAGATTATATAACATGCTCAAGGTCAGAAGCTACGAGGTGAAGTAGTGTGGAGGAACACCCAAAACCTTATATCCACAGTCTGTGCCCTTAATGACATGCTGCACCCCCACCAGTGGGCTACTCTGTTCCAATGACAAGACATGGAATGAGGTTGTTGGGGGCAACATCATTTATTTTTAAATAACAACCATATATTCATTGGTGAAAGGTGTGGTTACCAAGGTTCATTCCAGAAATATCAGCTGGGTACAATGCTATATTTAAGACCCTTAACTATAAAAGCCTTAAGAAGTTTAAAATCTAAATTGGGGATCATCCATGTGCAAAAGATCCCTATGTCATTCTCCAATAATATGCACGGTATGAGAAAATCAGTTATCTCAGAGAAAAAAAAATAAGACTCTGCTCCAAGTGCCCAGAAAAACTATTTCATAGTGAATGTTGCAAGGTGCTTCTAGGTTGGAAACCACCAAATCTTTGCTCTGACAATACCCTAAGAACACAACTAAATCAAGATCCAGAAAGAGCCAGCTACCGAGCAAAGGAGATCACTCCAAACATCCCTTATCACCATGTGTCAGTATTAACCAGCTGTGACTCTACTTGTTAGAAATGAAGACACTCACTTCTGTGTACATATGTAATTTGAGCCCCTTTACTCCCCCAAGAATTTTTTAAATTAGAACACATAAGATATTTACATTATATTTTATGAGAATGAATCCAGCACTACAGTGAAAAATGTTTTTAATGTCATTTTCCCCACTTTACCACAACATATCTGATCCTTCCAGTTTGGAAACTTTCTAAAACATTTTGTACTGTTTTATTAATCAAAACTTTTCTTTTTAAAAAATACATATCCATTTATTTTAAAAATCTTGTTTTTAACACTTTCAATAATCAGACAACTCATGTCTTTTTGATAAACATAACTATCTATGCATAACCTTAGCTGCGGCAAATATTTCTGTCTACTAAGTTATATATTTCTAAAGTTTCAAGCTCAATAAAATCACAAATACAATTTTCTAAGACCCAGACCCTTAACATTTATTTAGTACAGATGTTTTTATTATTTTTCTGTCTGAACTCAGCATATTTCGCTGAGCTGTGTAAGATGCCCGACAGGGTCATAGGTTGTAATTTATAATAGCTTACTAAGATGCAACCCAGACTTCAACAAAGCTGAAGCCTGTTTTATGTCTTAAAATATCATATTTTTACTTCCCATGCTCACATTTGGAGGCAATGTGGTCATGGAATTTTGCTGCCAGTCAGTTTCAAGTTTTAGTTTTAATCTGTTTTTCTAAGCTTCAGTTGCCAATAAAATGTGGATATAATTAATGTCAAATTCTACTGTTTAAAAGATTAAGTAAAAAATAAAATATGTAAATTATCAGGCTTAGTACTTGTAACTTAAGAGATGCTCAACACACTTTTATTCTTTTCCCCTCCCCTATAACAGGAATTATAAGAATACACACACACACACACACACACACACACACACACACACACTCACACACCTCTTTATGCTATTCTTCACTGCTTTTAATTTATGCATGCATTTGATTTAAGAACACCTACTCCCGAATTCCTTATGCTGCTTACGTAAACCAAAATTCACAAAAATAAAGAAATGAATTCACTATAGCAGGAATTTACCCAAAAGGACTGTATTTGTCAATAATAATAAGTAATTAATCTTGCCCAAAGTAAATATCAGGCTAAGTGCTAAACACTCCACTACTGCACTGTATTTAATAGTCACAACACTCCTCTGAGTTAGACTTATTGACATGAGTTTACAAAAAAATAATTATTTTTAAAGAATGAAGCAGAAGCTCTGAATTGTGAGGCAATTTTCCCAAGGTCACTCAGAAATTACAGAATTGAGATTTAAAACTGGGTTGCTCTGTTTCCTAGATACTGGTATTTAGTTACCTTGCTCTTTGCTCAAGTTAATATCGACATGTACATTTGAGAGCTGTTTTCTAGCCGCTATTCTTTAAGCTATTTGTTGGTTAGATAATATAGACAAGGCCACAGAACTTTCTGTAATGCTATCAAAGTTCAAAGTAATAACCATGATTCCATAAAAGTCTCAGTATTCCCTCTTAATCCTATCATTTTCTAAAATAGTTGCCAAGATAATCTACCTTGAAATTCATGGAAAACTAGGAAATACTGGGTGGTTTAAAGTAGTTAATAAAAATTAGCCACCCCCCACCCACCCCATCTCTGTATTCCTACCAATTCTCTGAAAAGTCATCAGATGGGAGAAGTATAGATATTAATTATAGACCCAATGGAAGATAGCATCTTCTAAGGCAACAACTTATTTACATCTTTAAAATGCTGGTATATGGTACTACATTTTATCCTCAAATAATCGTGTGAATGACTGTGTAGAAATTTTCCTCTCTTAGAACCTCAACAATGATATAGACAGTTAAGAGAATGTTTCAATCATGCCACTAAGATATGAAAACTGAGGTCTCTGGAAGTTAACTCACTTGCTCAGGCTATGGAGCTAATAAGTGGTCAGGTTGAGAGTAGTCACTGGAACAGGTCACGATTTTTCCACATTAGGCAGCCTGAGTCATCCTTACTGGATTATGGTGAACTTTTAAATACTTCCCAAATGGTTTATAAGGAAACTTGCAACAGTATAACTGTAAGATGTATGACATTTAGTAGGTTGATAATATTAATTTGTTATGTGAACATTAATGGGTAACATTATGTATATACCAACTCATATAATTGCATAAATTAACTAAAAACAACAGACTTAAAGACGGCATTGGGGCAGCAGTAACAGAAAAGGAAAGACTGTGGAGATTTAAATCTCAAAATGTGTTTAAATTTTGGCTTTGCTCCTTCTGAAATGTATAACCTCAGGCAAATTACATGAAACTTATTTCAGGAATTTCTTCAAAAGAGGGGCTACTTCAAAATCAGCAATAAATAAATAAATAAATAAATAAATAAATAAATAAGTAAAATAAATAAATAAATAAATAAATAAATAAAATAGTATAAAAGCAGAAGAGTTAATAATGTAACAAAGTATTATCTAAAGATAATTTAGTTATCTATCACTTATCAATAATCAATACACTATTATCTTCTTGGTTTATAATATTTAGGATACACAGGAACAATACCAAACAGAGCTGAGGATTCAGAGCTTTCTTGTGGATCAGAGATAGTGATCTATGCCTTCTATTTCAAAGAGTTGGAGAAAGTCAGGGAATATTATTTCCTTTTCTAACCAGGACACCACGTTCAAGATGCCCATTTAAAAAAGTTCACTATTTTATTAACAGCTCAACAGCGAAGTAGTTTATACCCAGAAGAGATCCCCTTCAAATTGCCATTCCATCAACTGCAAACTACACTGGGATTAAATGAAAACTCATCTATTCCAGACCAGAATAAAAAAAATGTATACTCTGGGGTATGGTGGTTCTCCTTCTGCACATGACATCCAGTGATGCCATTGTGTAGTAGCAATTGACAAATTCACTTAATTTCTTTCCTTACAGGAGTAACAACTGTGCTCACCATGACAACTTTGAGCATCAGTGCCAGGAATTCGCTCCCGAAGGTGGCTTATGCAACTGCTATGGATTGGTTTATCGCAGTGTGCTATGCCTTTGTGTTCTCTGCTCTGATTGAGTTCGCCACCGTAAACTATTTCACCAAGAGAGGTTATGCTTGGGATGGCAAAAGCGTGGTTCCAGAAAAGGTAAATGCATTAACAGTCCTTGTGGTATAGCACTAATATGTCTTTTTAAACATATTAGATGGCATATTTGGACTTGACGAAATGGAAGAAGAATGCAGAGATTGGTTAATAAGGATCATAATCCTTATGTCATTAATGATTAAGTGGTGTGATAATTTCATTTTTGTTAAAGAAAGGTTGAGTAGATAGATGTGCAGAGTAGATGCAGAATGTAAAAGAGACAAAAATTAATATTTCTACTCAAATATACTTTTCTATGGCTTCAATTGATCTGAGAGAGTTTTAACATTAGGAGTAAATAAACTGGCACACAGCATTATAATTTTTATAACTTGAAAATCATGGGTTTTTGGTTACTTTTTAAACCTTATCCCTTTGGTTATAAACATCATTACTATAATGTCTCAATTTAACTGTGTTTGCAAATTGCATTATCTTCAATTATAAGTGAAATAAAAAGTAGGAAACATTTTCTCTTTCCAAAACAGAAGCTTGCTTTAAGAGTCATAACACAGAAATCACAGAAAACTATCAAGGATGGAACTGGAGAGCATTATGCTAAGTGAAGTAAGCCAGTTAGAGAAAGATAAATATCACATGATCTCACTCATTTATGGAACATAATGAACAAAATAAACTGAGGAACAAAAAGAGATTCAGATACAGAGAAGCATCGATCAGAACATCAAACCTCTGAAGGGAAGAGAGGAAGGTGGGGGGAAGGGTGAGAGATCAACCAAAGGACTTATATGCATGCATATAAGCCTACCCAATGGGCACAGACAACAGGGAGGTGAAGGCATGAGTTGGGAGGTGGAGGGGGGGTGGCAATTGGGCTATAAGGACACACATGTAATACCTTAATCAATAAAGAAAAAATAAAAAAAAATAAATGAAAGGCGTTAAGGGAAAAAAAAAAAAAAGATATCACTCAGTCCTAGCTAGTTTGGCTCAGTGGATAGAGCATTGGTCTGTAGATCAAAAGACTCCAGGTTCATTTCTGATCAAGGGCATGTACTTTGGTTGCAGGCTCTTCCCTGGCCCAGGCCCTGGTGGGGGCTCATGCAGAAGGCAACCAGTTGATATGTTTCTCTCACATCAATGTTTCTCTCTGTCTTTCCCCCTCTCTCCTACCCTGTTTCCCCGAAAATAAGACAGTATCTTATATTAATTTTTTCTCCCAAAGTTGCGCTAGGTCTTATTTTTAGGGGATGTCTTATCTTTCCATGTGCTAGGTCTTATTTTCGGAGGATGTCTTATTTTCGGGGAAACACGGTACTTTCCCTAAAAGACAATGGAAAAATATGCTGGGGTGAGGACTAACTATAACAAAAACAAAAAACAAACACACACACACACAGAGAATATCATTCAGAAACTATTTTGGAGTATATTTGAAAACATTTGGAGAGGCTATTTCTACTTCTGAGGTTTGAAGGAAAAAATATATAAAAATGCAAGTGAGTCTTGGGATGGTAGAAAGAAGGGCAAAGTCAAAGACAGAGGTTAGAAGATCTCTGGAAGTAATCAAGGAGGATTCACTCTTTAGTAGTTTTCCCTGAATTCCACTCCATTAAATGCCATCTTCTTGTGATGGTCCCTGAAAATACAGCTCAATGGTAAAATGCAAATAAAAAAAAATCTGCTGCTAAGGTAAAATTCTTTTAGATTTGCCCCTCAGCAACGGATGAGTCAATTCAACACCCCAATGAGCTACGTAAGTAAAAGCAAAAGGGTTCTTTACAGGATGCACTATCATAGCCAAAGTGTTCCAGAAGCTGGCCCTGAAAATCTAGCCTGCCTTGGAACATTCTTGTCCAGTATAACATTCTTTGATTTGCAAACAAAGAACTTTGTTGAGTAGAGAGAGGAGACAAGATACAGGGACTGCATATACCAGCTGGAGAGAGAGCCAAGAAGGTGGAGACAAAGTTATTGTCAAACGTGTGCCTTAGTCATCCTTCTTCCTAGACCAGAAGGGCAGCCTGAAGGAGAGAGAGCCAACCCAGGAGACAGGTTATCATAAAACACTGAGACCTGTAAGACACAGCCTAGAGACAAAGCTGTGAAAATTTTCTAAATGTACATTTTAGGATTACTGACGTATTCTACTGAAATTATTCAGAATGAGTAATATGCAAACATGGGTGACATACAGTGAAACTGGCGTGCAAACATTGGAAAAGTTGCTTTTGTAGCTTACTACTTTCTTTGCAAGTTGTGAGAGGCCAACACCTTTCTGATTCTTGCTCCTATGTATAAGCTATTAGTGACTAGTGGTTAGATGAATGGAAATCTTTATGGAGACCATGGAATTTTGGTTGAGGCATTGGTGAGCTCATAGTTCTGATTGTTATTTATCCCATTCTGATCTTTACTTTAGTCTTTCAGGTGCCATATCTCAAATATTTTAATATCTATCAATTTTAGTCCATAGTAGTCAATATATATGAATGTATTGCAATGCATCCAATATATAATAACTTCTATATTTACATCAATCATCCTCTTAAATAGACAGTATTTTCTATAAATTATATATGCTTCTATAAAATTTTCCCCACAGGTTTTGACAGTTTGATTTGTTTATTCTAATCTAGGTCTCATCTTGACATTCAGAAATGAAGAATATTTTTTTTCTGGCACTAGGTTAATGTTTCTAGGAGAGTTAAATTTTCAACCACTTAACAAGATTCAATTTAAAATTCAAAAGAAGTTTCCCACAGGGTTATCACATTATCCAGTGAGCATATAGCAGCCTGCTTAAAATTCATCCTTCTGTGGTTAATTGCTGAAAGAAATGCCAAGAACATGGGGGAGCTCAATATTTTCAGAAATTAGTATTTCCTGATAAACTAAACAGTTACCTCTAAATATTCTATTTAACATGATGTTGCAAAAAAAAAAGCACTTAATTTGAGAATTTTTAGTAGTGGAGTTAGTTATAATAAATTGACCTGGGAAGAAATTAAATCTCCATGAACTTTTTCTTTAGAAGATTGTTTATTTCAGTTTACCTAATAGGATATCTGTCACTCAGCATGTTTTGGTTAGACTGGAACCCTTGGCCTCTCTTCAACACCAGAGTACATTATACATGTTATCTAAAGGCATAACAAGCTGTTTAATGTATCTACAATATTACAACTCCCATTTTGAAAGAAATGAACTCAACATAAGGTCAGTTTGGCTCTTTAATGGTGTTGAAATAAATCATAATCTCTTTCTGACCTGTAGTCATTTGGACCACATTCAGAATCACTTTAACTTAATTATGGAAATTTCTGTTCTTCCTCAGAAAGCTTAACCAACTCTGCCTTCACTGAAAAATGATTGTATACTTAGAGAAAATGACCTTATTTTAATAAAGTAATACTGGAAAAAATAATACTATATTTATTTTTAAGTCTCAAAATAGCTTAAGGATTTGGAGAGGAAAAAGAAAGTAGCAGGCAGGGCACAGAGCTGGGAAATAAATAAATTTACCTGTTAAAATTCCTGACTATTGTGTCTAGTGAAAAGCATCAGGTCTTCTGGAAGTAATAATTTATCCTGATTTAATAATTTAAGAATACAAATCATTTAGAGTACTACATCTGGTAGTTCAAGTTTAGATGCTCATTGATGGCTAAGTTTTTGCAAAATCAATAATCAGGTTCAAATTGTGAGGAATTCTAATAAAAATATGAGACTGCGTCCAAGATCCTGACTTTAAAAAATGTTACCAGTAATTTACTGTACACAAAAGAAAGAGAATCACTCTTCTAGACTATCACTGTCCAGCAGACATATAAGTGCATGGCGAGCATTAGCCAAGTATGTACTTTGAAATTTTCTAGTAGCTTTATTTTTTAAGTACAAGCCAGTGGAATTAAGTTTAATAATATATTACTTTAGTCCATATATAAAAGAACTAGAGACCCGATGCATGACGATTCATGCAAAAATGGGCCTTCCTTCACCTGGCTGTGACACTTTTCCACCTTCCCATGCTGCCCATAGGCCCGGAGCTGCTGGGGCTGTGCAGAACACCTGCATTGTCGCCATGGCCCCAGCCACTGGGCACCCATGTATGCAAATTAACCCACCATCTTTGTTGGGTTATTTTGCATACTCACTCCTGATTAGCTGGTGGGCATTGTGAAGGTACTGTCAATTTGCATCTTTCTATTTTATTAGTGTAAATATTATCTTTACAACATGAAAACAATATAAAACATTATTAAGGAGATAGATTTCATTATTTTTTTCACACTAGGTCTTTAAAATACTATGTGTATTTTAAACATACAGCATGTATCTAATCAGACTAGCTACATTTTATTGCTCAGTGGCTATTGACAATTGTATTGGGCTACACAGGTATAAACTCATTTTTCTGGCAATGTCTACATGACAGAAGCCCTAAAAAATGCTGCAGTTCTCAATTGTTGCCTAGATGGCATTATTGAGCAGCTAACATGAACAAGAATTGAATTCTGGATATTCTGAATAATTCTGCTTTATCATTTTCCTACCTGAAACCTGGGGAGAAGGAGCAAATAATACTAACTGGCTCAGCAACTTCTTGCTGAAAAACAAACCACTGGGTAATGGCAATGTATAGATCTTAAAATAACAACCCAGCATTTGGGGCTGAGTCCAGTCGGGGGTAATCCCATTAGTCTAACCTGGGCTCACTCACAGGGTTGCAGTTAACTGCAGGCTCCACGAGGGTGAGAAGACCCACAGGGGCCTCTCTCACAAGTCTGGGGCCTGATGCTGGCTGGGCCTCTCACATGATCTCAGCCATTCAGCGGTCTGGTCCAGTCTTCTTCATGCAGCAATGGCATGTTTGTAGAAGCTGATGGCTGAGATTGCAAGGTCTCTTGCCGTTAGGCTCCTACATTGCAACAGCATCACTCTGTCCAAAGTCTCAAGCGGGGAAACAGAGCACAGCTCTGGATAGGAAAGTGGGGGAAATATTCTGTCAGCATTTTTCCAGCTTTATCGATATATAATTGACACATGTCATTGAGGAAGTTTAAGGCGTACAGTGTGATTGCTTTGATACATATTCATACTGTGAACTGATTACCCCTGCAGCATTAGCTAACATCTTCACCTGTTGCATAGTTACCGTTTCTTTCCGTAGTAAAGCATTTAACATATATTCTCTTAGCAACATTCAAATATATGATATAGTATTATATGTTATTATATTAAAGAGTATAGCTTATAATACTATATCATATATTTATAATACTATATCATGCTGCACATTATATCTCCCAAATTGTTAATCTTATGACTGGATATGGATGTCTGCAATTTTAATGTACCCCAATAATACAGTCATAAATTACATTTCTTAGATTTTAAATAAAGCACAGATTTAGGTTCCAAAGTGAAGGTCACTTTTACTCAGCAACTTACAAACGTGCTTATCTCATGGTTTACCGACCAAAATGTTTTTTATTCTTCCTTTGATAGCCAAAGAAAGTGAAGGATCCTCTTATGAAGAAAAACAACACTTACGCTCCGACAGCAACCAGCTACACCCCTAACATGGCCAGGGGTGACCCTGGCTTAGCCACCATCTCTAAAAGTGCGACCATTGAACCGAAAGAAGTCAAGCCAGAAGTCAAACCTCCAGAACCCAAGAAAACCTTTAACAGCGTCAGCAAAATTGACCGCCTGTCAAGAATAGCCTTCCCGCTGCTATTTGGAATCTTCAACTTGGTTTACTGGGCTACCTATTTAAACAGAGAGCCTCAGCTCAAAGCCCCCACCCCACATAAGTAGGTCCTTTCATTCATATTCTGCTGTTCAGTCCTCTGCAATAGAAGTTGCTTTCTGTTCTCAATGCAGCAATTCCCATCTGCTTTATTGCCTCTGTCTTAAAGAATTTGAGGATTCCCTTATTTCCATAATTCCTACAAGAACTGACCCCTGTCCAGCAGTGCAGAGCAGAGCAGAGAATTCAGCTAAGAGACAGGATTCTGAGAGAGAGAGAACGGGAGAGCAAACACAATCACAATGGAAGGAGACAGAACGAAAGAGAGAGGGAAGAAGGAGAAGGGGGGCATAATTCCCAAGATAGGAGGTAAAGTAGAAGAAAAATAAAACAACTCTAACTCTAGATAATTTGTAGATATATATTTCCAAATATTCTAAACAAAGAAGAAGATACTATATATGTCAAAAATATTTTTATGTGAAGGTGTTTAAAAGAAAAAAAATTATGTGTTTAATGGAGAAAATTTTCAAAGAATCTATATCTTTATTGCACAAACTATGGCGTGCTTACATTTTTGTGTTGATTTTCAAACTGATGGATAACTTCAATATTTTTGTTTCCAAAGCTAAGGACCCCCCATCCATTCTCCTGCTATAAATGCCTAACATGCTATTTTATTGCTAAGTGATATTTTAAAATTCATAGAGGAGAAGTCCTTCCTTGTAGAGCACATCTCGTCCAAGGAGAGAAATGCTCTACACAGGCGATTTTCACTATCATCTGTGCTTTCATCACTGGATTGATGAAGAATCATTTTAACAAAAACATAGATACTCAACAGCAGCCAAACATTTTGAAAATTAAATAAAATAATTAAAAAATATTCCCTTTCTCTTCATGCCTATTTAGAGATAGCACATGGGTCCCATGAATCACTTCATTCCCATTATGAAGATGTTTTAGAGGGGCAAAAATATTTTGCAAGCTCTAGAATTGTTGAATGTATTTTATATACAGTACATTAAAAGCTTTAGATTAAAATTTATGACTAGCAAACAAAAATAGAATATATAAATTATCTATGTAAATATACAGCATGAGATTGTACATTTTTTTACTTTTTTTTTAAGGTTGTGTTCTTAAAATAGTGTGTAAGACTCACCGCTCTTAGCTGTTAGAATGTTGTTAAGTGCTATGGAAATACTTTTAGAGCCTGCATTCCAGATCAGAACAGCTTGCAGGAATCAGGTGGAACTTCAAATATATGGGCATAATGTTTATTTACGTAGAAAAAGCTTATAATTGCAAACTGCTGTCTGGTGTACAGTAGTAAATCAGTTGCTCTCTGCTCCAGTCCTGCCACAGTTCCCTAAATTAGGCTCTTGTAATATAGAAATGAAATGGAAAAGCATTAGTGAGAGCGAGAAAATCAACTGTATATTACCGCTGTCTTCGCTGATATCAACTATTTCGATGTGCTATGCCATATGTAGCACCAACTATAAAAATTCATGAAAGAATGTACAGGAAATAGCTTTTATTGAGTAGTGTTATTACATTTCGTTTATACCGTAGCAATATATTTGTAGGTATACTATGTAAGGGCTTTAACGACAGGAGGTCCCTTAATACTCCCTATGAAAGGTCTAGGCAGTTTCATGACTTCCCAGATGTTTCAGAGATGAATATTTATGCAGAAGGTATTTTTGAAGTCTCCTTTTTTGTCTGGTAGGGTTTCATTTGTATTTAAAATTAGCATCCAGAATCCATGGGTCATGGTCTGAGCAACGCATTTAGGATACCACAACGTAAGCCTGTCAGGCTAGTTGCCAAATGAGATAGTCGGGATCCACACCTAGGTTTGGAGCTATGTCTTTCTCAAAAAGCTGCTATCCAATGATGTAGGAAAATGCACTCTGTTTTCCTAAACAAACTCTGGTTTTCTTTTTAAATGTGCTTTACTGTTTGATTTGGTCCTGCCAAAATTCCATGAGTTAGGCCAATCAAGACTGAAGCAAGGGTGTTCATCCTCTGGTATCATGTGTAGATATCATGTATAGAAAATAAAGTAAACTATGGCTCTAACTTCTATGTTACTGTTTTTCTTGTTACTTTTCTGTGTCAATCTGATGTGTTAGTTAAAAAGTATTTTATCTTCCAGACTCATCATGACTAACGTTTGGTCTGTATTTTGCTCATTAGATGTGAATATTTCTTATTAGTCAGCTTCCTGCTATGCAATGATGGCATTTCTCTCATTTCTTAGTTTGTTAGTATATGTGGATAATATTCTATTGTATTAACTGATTACATAATTTATGGAAGACAAATGATTCTATGTAGCTTTTCTACAGTGCTTTGCTAAACCATGTAATACTAGTTAAGTCTTCCTTGAATATAAAGTTACGTTTGTTACAGGACAGTTCCTGTTTATTAACAGGAATATTTTTAAAGATGACACTGAATGTTTATTGCACATTAGTGCAGTGAAGTGGCAATAAAACCTAAGATGAATTGAGGTTGTTTATCGCAGATGCATGTATTGCTTTACAGCGTTTAGCAAAAGCTCTTAATTTTATGTCATACTGTATTCTATTATAATAATAAAGCTAACATTATTAAATAACAAGATGGAATTCATGATTATCTTTTCATATTATTAATAGGACATGCTGTTTATCTATTTTAAAACATTTTCAGGTAGGAGTACCTAAAAGTGTTAATTATTAGGAATCTAGGCTATAGAGAAGGTTTTTGAATATGTATCAGTAGTATAATCATAAACTATCATTTAAAAAATATATATTTTAACGGTGCCATAGAGGAAAGGAGAGGGGGAAAGAGACAGAACCATCAATGATGAGAGAGAATCATTGATTGGCTGTCTCCTGCACACCCTCAACTGGGGATCGAGCCCTCAACCCTTGCATTTGCCCTGATCTGGAATACAACTGTGACCTCCTCATTCATAGGTCCACACCCAACCACCGAGCCACACGAGCAGAACTAACCTATCATTTTTCATGAATCATTTTAAAAAAGAAAAAGTATTAAACATCTGGTATCTAGTGTTACCAGTAGCACTTTAACTCAAAATGTACAAAGTATACACAGAACAGCATAAAAATGCTTAAATGAAAGTAGAGTCTGGTCAAATCTATTGTTAATACAGAAAATCTGTGGTTTATTTAAAATTGCTCTGAAGAGACTCTGGTTTAATTGTTTTTTGGGGGGAATCTGAGTATTGTAGTTTTATTTAAAAGCTCTCCAGGAGCTGTTACATTCCTTAATGTTTCTATATCCACAAAGTCAGATGGAAGTACAGAATACTTACAGTTATTTGAAAGATAATAGAAAAGTCATTTAAATGACAGGCATAAAACTGTACCTGGTTTCTACAGACAAGACCACATCTTTCTGTGTCAATGGTGGCCAGGGAAAAACAAAGTATATTATACTTCTATAGATAAAGTATGTGTCTTCCTAAAAAGTTATCCTTGCCTATGGGTATAAATTAGCAAAATTAATAATTTTAAAATCCTCCAACTCGACTGATTCAACCAACATACAACTGCCCATAACAAATCAGCTAAACCATCACATTCATTGACTTTTTGGCTGTTCTAGAAATGAACCTAGTGAATGATGATTATTTTGGCTATCAAACTCACCCAGGCCAGAGCTCACCATAATAATTATCCAAGGAAATAAGGATGGACTTGGCATGATTGCTGGCCATCTGTTTGAATTTCACTATACCTGTTTGTTGAGACCTTCTGTTGGAGGTTTCTAAAATCTATCCAGCCCTTGTGAACAGCAAGAACAGTTATCTCACTTGGTTGTGTTATAGCCACAATTTGGTCGAATATGTTGACTCCAAATGTAAATTCAGTTTAACTAAACTAAATTCTACCAATATTGCTGAATCCCTACTCTGTGTTAAGCATTGTGCTAGAATATAGGGATGTAGAGATAAACATTTCATGGCCATTTTAATTAAGGAAATCACAGTTCTGATGGGAAAGAAAGACAGAGAATCAGGCAAAGGCAACATAAATATTGTGAGAAAAGCAGAGGATCAGAGACCCAACAGGGGTTCTTTGCTATTCTGCATAAGGTTACATAATCAAATATTTAGGAACTAATAATATCAAAATAAAATAATATACAAGAGGTGAAATGGCCCTGGACCACACGAAGGAGAACTTGGAGATAGTACCAGCCCTATGAATTTCTAGCCATTTAATCCCTGACTAACATTTGAGACCAAGGATCTTTCAGTTAATGTGGTAGGTCCTGAGATGACAGAGATAAAGATAACAATATTCTCTTGGAAAACTCATAATTTCATGGGGAATCCAAGTGAACCTGAAGTTACAACACTTTACACTAGATGTACAACTACCAACAAACAGGGATTTCTCCTTGCCCAGTGGTATGAGGAAAGCCTTTAAAAGTGTTAGCTGAGCTATGTTTTTAAGGATGATTCAGCATTTATCAGGAACTTTAGTGTTGGGGTTGGTTGCTGGTAATAGGGAAGACCTTGCATTCAAATATAATGCATTAAAACTTAACTCAGAGAGTCATGAAGACTATTGCCAGGAAATTAGCATATGTGTGTGAATTAGACCCAAAAGGACACTAAAGGAAGCGTTGGGGATTGTGGGAAACAGTGCAACCTGTCCCTGAAGCCTCAGGTCCAGCTATCTGGTCCCATGAGGAGAAAGAAGCTGTGCATCATTATATATTTTAATGTTACAGAAGAACATTTGCTATTGGAATTCTTTCTGATGCTAATTTTTAAAGAACTCTGTCAAGCATAATACACTGAGTGGCCAGATTATTATGATTTCTGAACGCATAATAATCTAGCCACTCAGTGCATATCCTATATAACAAAAGGCTAATATGCAAACTGTCCCCTTGACCAGGAGTTCTACCACTAGGCAGGCTGGCCAAATGTCCATGTCCCCTTCCCCTGGCCAGGCTGGCTGGACCCCATTCAAGCACGAATTCATGCACCGGGCCTCTAACACACACACACACACACACACACACACACACA